TTAAAAATATATTTTATTGATTTTTTACAGAGAGGAAGGGAGAGAGATAGAGAGTTAGAAACATCGATAGAGAGAGAAACATCGATCAGCTGCCTCCTGCACATCTCCTATTGGGGATGTGACCGCAACCCAGGTACATGCCCTTGACGGGAATCGAACCTGGGACCTTTCAGTCCGCAGGCCGACGCTCTATCCACTGAACCAAACCGGTTTTGGCTAATTGTTTATTTCTTTTTTAAAGTATATTTTTATTGATGTCAGACAGGAAGGGAGAAGGAGAGAGAAAGAGAAACATCAATGATGAGAGAATCATTGATCGGCTGCCTCCTGCATGCTCCGAACTGGGGATCGAGCCTGCGCCCCAGGCATGTGCCCTGGACCGGAATCGAACCCGGCACCCTTCAGTCTGCAGGCCGACGCTCTATCCACGGAGCCAACACAGCCAGGGCTATAATTGTATATTTCATTGTTAGGTATTGTTGCTAATCTCTTACTGTGCTTAAGTTATAAATTACACATTATCATAGGTATGTATGTATAGGGGAAAACTATATATATATGTATGTGTGTGTGTATATATATATATATATATAGAGAGAGAGAGAGAGAGAGAGAGAGATTGGTACTATCCTCAGAGTATGGGGGTCTTGGAATGAATGTTGACTTTTTAAAAAATATATATATTTTTATTGATTTCAGAGAGAAAGGGAGAGGGAGAGAGAGAAACATCAATAATGAGAGAGAATCATTGATCGGCTGCCTCCACATGACCTCCACCAGGGATCAAGCCTGCAACACGGCATGTGCCCTGACCAGGATTCGAACCGTGGCCTCCTGGTTCATAGGTTGATGCTTAACCACTGAGCAACACTGGCCGGGCAAGATCTGTTGACTCTTTTGAACAAGGTGGGGCAGGTGGGGTGTGATGTGACAAGGCAGAGACTGGAAACCTCAGTGTGCGTGCATGTGTGCGTGTGTCATGTGTTGTGTGTGTGTGCACGCGTGTGTATTGTGTGTGTGTGCACGCGTGTGTATTGTGTGTATGTGTGTATTGTGTTGTGTGTGTGTGCGTGTGCGTGTGTATCGTGTGTGTGTGTGTGTGTGTGTGTGTGTGTGTGAGTGAGTCGTGCGTGTCTTCTAGGAGGTGGGCACAGGGGAAGGTGCCGCTCGAACACAAGCGCTTGGGGGCAGGTGGCGGAGTTAGGGCCTTGCTTGCAGTGATGAGAGTCGGGACATGCTGTGTGGGGCTGCAGGTGGCCCTGGCAGCATTTGGGCCCCCGGCTGACGAGGCCGCCAGGAGGCCGTGTACCAGGCCTGCGTGCAGCCCCTGCTGGAGGCCTTCTTCGAGGGCTTCAATGCCACCGTCTTCGCCTACGGCCAGACGGGCTCCGGGAAGACCTACACCATGGGGGAGGCCAGTGTGGGTGAGTGGCCTGCCTGTGAGGGGGCGGGGGGGGGGGCGCTCAGTGGCTCCCCCGTTGGGTCCCCTGTCTCTTGCTGCTGCTCCCTGTTGCCTGCGTGCAGCCCCTGCTGGAGGCCTTCTTCGAGGGCTTCAATGCCACCGTCTTCGCCTACGGCCAGACGGGCTCCGGGAAGACCTACACCATGGGGGAGGCCAGTGTGGGTGAGTGGCCTGCCTGTGAGGGGGCGGGGGGGGGGGCGCTCAGTGGCTCCCCCGTTGGGTCCCCTGTCTCTTGCTGCTGCTCCCTGTTGGAGGTGGGTCCTGGGAGGGAGAGCAATGTCCTGAGCAGGTCTGCAGCCCAGGGTGGGGCCAGCTGTGTGGGGGGCTGGGCAGGGCGGATGGGCCTGGGAGGCGAGTGGCCTTCTCAACTCCATAGGGATGGGGCCAGGCCGGCTGGTTCTGGGGCCGCAGGGGGAGCTGGCCTGTCTGCAGGGTGTCCGGCTGGCTGGCGAGGGGGAGGAGTCCATGTGCCGGTCGGGGTGGGGACTGTCCTGGGAGAGACACAGCCCCGGCTGGTTCCAGGAGACGCTAGAGCAGATTTGGGGAGAGACACTTCAGGCCAATGAAGGGAACTGCCCCATTTTTTTTTCCAAATATATTTTATTGATTTTTTTTACAGAGAGGAAGGGAGAGGGATAGAGAGTTAGAAACATCGATGAGAGAGAAACATCGATCAGCTGCCTCCTGCACACTCCCCACTGGGGATGTGCCCGCAACCAAGGTACATGCCCTTGACCAGAATCGAACCCGGGACCCTTGAGTCTGCAGGCTGATGCTCTATCCACTGAGCCAAACCGGTCAGGGCCCCATTTTAAATCTATTTTTTGATTGATTTCAGAGAGGAAGGGAGAGAGAGAGAGAGAAAGACATCAATGATGAGAGAGAATCATGGATCGGCTGCCTCCTGCACGCCCCCTACTGGGGATCGAGCCTGCAACCTGGGCATGTGCCCTTGACTGGAATCCAACCTGGGACCCTTCAGTCTGCAGGCTACGCTCTATCTCCTGAGCCAAACCAGCTAGGGCCGGAACTGCCCCATTTTAGGTTGTACAAATGTTTTCTCTTGGGTTATATAAGTATATGTTTGTCATAAAAAATTTAGGAAAATTCAGAAAAACACACAAAAATAAAACTGCCTTTCAGAAATCACGCATCCTGTTAGGGTTCCAGTTTCTTTTTCTTCGGAATTGACTATCCTTTTAAAGAAAACGGCATTACGTTGTACCCAATCTTTGACATCCTGTTTTATTTTCTTAACAAATATCATGAACAGGTCTTTACATCATTAAGTATTTTTCAATCTGATTTTTTTCATGGCTGCCTGGCATTCCATTGTGACTATAAGGTAAGGCAATTTATGTAACCAGAGCCCCTGTGGATCTTGAAATGGACGCTTAGGATGTTTGTGTGTGTTTTTTTAAGTTATGAAGACGAGTGCTGCTCTGAACACGCTCTTATTACTTTGGGATAAATGTCGGAGGTACTTTAGGTAACTGAGCATATAGACTGGTAATGAGCTCCCTGTCCCAGGGGGTAATCAAGCAAGGGTGTCTGGTGACCCGGCAGGAATGTAGGGGGCGGTGCTTATATCATGAAAGGGGTTGGCTCACCCCTGAGAGGTCGCTTCCAACTCTGAAATGTTATGGTTCTGCCTGACCACCCTGGCGCTCGGCCTGGCTCCGGCTGCCGCCTTCTCCACCTGGAGCCCCATCCTCCAGCCGCTGGCGGGGCACGGGGGCCTCGGAGACCCACTGGCGGCATATGTTAGGAGGCCCCGCGTGTCTCCCCAGCCTCCCTCCATGAGGACCAGCAGGGCATCATCCCGCGGGTCATGGCCGAGGCCTTCAAGCTCATCGATGAGAACGACCTGCTGGACTGTCTGGTGCACGTGTCCTACCTGGAAGTGTACAAGGAGGAGTTCCGGGACCTGCTGGAGGTGGGCACCGCCAGCCGCGACATCCAGCTCCGCGAGGACGAGCGTGGGAACGTCGGTGAGGAAACCCCGGGTCCCTGGCTGGGAGGGGGCGCCTGGCTGGCGGGGAAACCCACGCTCTGGAAAGTTCTGCTTTAGTTTCTTCTGTCTGCACCGGCTTTGAGGTGGGCACGGGGGACGCTGGAGCCCGCCAGCCCAAACCAGGATGGGCAGGAGCCCCGGGCATGGGGGAGGGGCCCCTGGGT